GGGCCATTACTTTTCGGACCACCGATTGTAGCTTTGTTGACCCTTTTTCAGGATTTAGCCCAATGAGGTCGATGGTGGTTTTAATGAGGCATGAGAATGACTTTTATTTGTATAGCCAACTGAGCTCACTTAACAGTGCCATCCTGCTGAGCCTGTTTGCATAGGTACCACCGTATCATTAGGGCTCAACTTAGCGAGGTTTGGGCTAGTAGGATCGTTCTAGATGAAACGTATAAGTTTACGGAAAATCCTTTTTTTTATCCTAAGGACAAATTTGATTGGGCGCTGTCCGAAGGAAATAAACGTGATAAAGCTTGATATATTTTCTGATCCCTCCTTTTTATTAGAAGAATGGAATATATATGATTAATATATTACTATTGTAAATACAGCCAGGTCCTTCTCTACTTGGTCTATCCGGCTACGGTATTCGCCCAATTCATTTCCAACTCCTACGCAAAACTTTTCTCTTGAAAACTCCTAACGCCTGCTCTCTCGGCGTTGCCATCGTCCATGCTTCCGCACCATATAGCAGGACGGTAATGGTAAGGGACTTGTAGAGTTTGGTTTTAGTTCGTCGGGAGAGAACTTTACTTTTCAATTGCCTACTTAGTCCGAAGTAGCACCTGTTGGCAAGTGTGATTCCGCGCTGGATTTCCAGGCTGACATTGTTTTTGGTGTTGACGGTAGTTTAAAGATAGACGAAGTTATCTACTTCTTCAAAGTTATGACTGTCAACAGCGAAGTGGGAGCCGAGTCGCGAATGAGACGACTGTCTGTTTGATGACAGCAAATATTTTGTCTTGAACGCGTTCACTGCCAGACCCATATCCTCCGCTTCCTGATACAGTCTGAAGAAAGCGGAACTCACGGTGCCCTCATTCTACTAATACCGAAAAAAGAGCTTTGGGTACTATGCACTTATGAGGCAAGGAATGAGCAGTCGAAGCTCTACTCACAGGTTTTAAAAATAAGCAGCGAGAAATTCAGGGTTATCAAGAAGTTCAAGGCGACTAAAGATCTATGAGCTCGAAGTTCCTCCATGAAACTAGTTCTTAGACAAAAAAACCTAAGTCTCCGGTTAGCAAATAGAGACAGTTTACCGGTGTGTTTGAAGTGCAACTGCAAAGAATAAAGAGATTTTTTGTTTACTTCCGTCAAATGCACTCCAGGCAGCCCAAAAGACAGACATGCCAATTGAGTGGGAGCAAAGGGAAGTTGTTGCAGTCACTGCGAAAAGTTTACTTAATAATTTACTGCATACACGGTCACTAAATATCTGCGCGGAAAATGGATGAAGCAAGAAGAAGAACATACTTATATGCGTACACACATTATATTGTACTTGATCGCGCTCATTTGAAGTGGCTAGAGAATTTAGAAACATCAACATTTGGGTAAAACTTTGGAATTTAGCGCACATCCACTACAACACTCCCAGTCGTGCCCATTCCCTTGCACGACTTTCACTCACACACAATGCATCGGGCATCGGGCATCGGGCATCGGGTACATCCGTTGAGGTACTTTAGCCCGCCACTGGCGGACATTCATACCACTTAGCCTGTGCTGGGCTATGGCAATGCGGTCGTTCGATTGAGTTGTTTGTGTTGAAAATCCAAATTCGCGTAAATCCGTTTGGGGTTTTTGCACTTCGCCGCTATCGACGCTCAATTGCCGATACAGTCTCATACGTACGAATGAAATGTAAAAATACGCTTGACTATTTTTAAAATCAGCAAGCAATTTCGCATACGCATTGGCATTCTTGCATATCCCGCACTTACATATGTATATATGTATATAGATGTATGTATGAGCAAAAGCAACGCGGCGCTTAAGAACCATCACGCACACGCATTGCCACCGCGGCGAACGCTCAGCCGCACCGCACCGCACCGCGCACGACGCTTTGCAGCTCGGCAGCAAAAAGCTTGAATTTTCGTGCGGAAAATATTTGAGATGTAAAATTAGTTTACAATTAGCTATATTATTGCATGATGATATATCTCAATTGCTCGCTTTTATTAGTCATTATAGAATTTATGTATTCATTACCGAATTTTATTATCCGCGTTTATTTTTGGTCGGACGTAAAGTATTTAAAATAATACGAAAGCGGCAAGCACTTTGCTATGGGGGAAGTATTCACAGATTGAGTAACCTTAAAGAACAGGCGATCACGCTGAATCATAGCGCGATGAGTCTCTGAAGAAGGTAAACTTCTCTCACAGCGGCCTAGTTTCGGAAAGATAGGTGTAACACGAGGGACGCTCGTGGTATAGTTTTAGATCGGTAGAATAAAGTCTTCAGACTTCAGTATAAATCAGGAGCAGTTTTGAAGGGAATACGAAGAAGAGAAGGGAAGAGTTTTTACTCAAAATCTTATTGTCTTCTCTGGGTGTATAAGGAGAGGATACTAAATTTACATAAATATATATGTACCTAGGCAGAACGCCAGAACTACTACTCAAAATAAAATTCCTCATCGTTCAAGTGAACATCAGCGTTCCAAGGCTTATGAATAACTCGAGGCATTTCTATGAATATATCTAGCGAATTAGGTAAGAAGTTCGTGTTGCGATTATGACGGTTTTCGAGTGCTTCAAAATTATGCCATAATAGTCGGTAGTCGACTAAACTCCTGTCTATCCAGACTTGACACCGACATACGCAACGTATGCACTGCAAGCAATGAGTTTCCGCGCGACGCTAACTACCTCTATGCAACCTCTTTGCCCCCTAAAACCAACTCATCCAACCCTCCATTTCCTTTGGTCCAAGCCTGAATCGAAACAGCGCATTTCCTGAATCTCCCGGCAGAACACCTCAGTGATTTATACTGAGGTGAATGTTTAAATGTTCCGACATTTACCTCTTGTTCACTGCGTCCTATTTACAACCAAAGAAATCCATGGCGACTCACTTCACTGCCCTCAAGACACTAGGCGGCAGAATCTCGCGAAAAGAGCCAAAGAAACCATTGGCGCCAGTAGATTACGCCACAACGATTTGGGCGTCAAGAATAAGCGAGGTGCAGTTGGAGAAGCAACAAACCTGTCAGAATACCGTCTTGATGATCATAACCTAGTGCCGCCTGTATACCATTTGTAGTAGTTAGATATTCATGCTTCAGGTTAGGGAGAACCTTCTTACGACGTGTAAGTAGTACTGGCAGGAATTCCACTGCGAGGATCCTCCCTTAAAAGCTGTATGAACTCGTAAGTACATCGAGAAGAGAGTAATTAACTTTAAGATCTCTATCCAGTATTATATGACAGAACTGTTGGACTGACGATATACCAACAGGCGCTAAACACGAGAGAGTTGGTTAACACATTAATTAACTCTCTTCCTTTAAATGACGGAATTGGAATCATGTCATAACCTATAGTAGGCGAACAACACGAGCGCAACACGTAACTCTTCTTCTGGTCAGAGACTGTCGATTTCATGAGCCGCCCTTTAGAGGACGACAAGAAGTAGCTAGACTGCTTTTAAGCAGGGTTGGGTAGAGGGACACAATTTAGATCGTATTGAACAAAAAATTTGAAAAGGGATCAAATCAAAGTACATATAATTTATAAAATTTTCAATAATGAATCTTACGAGGATTTAAAATACCTTGTCGTCATTGAGGCAGTAGCAACCACCTTATATCGCATCCTCGGCTGGGTAGGGGTTCGAGAATTTTCTTGCGCTAAGGCATGCCTGTCGTAAGAGGTGGCTAAAATCCAAAAAGTTCCTACGTCAGTTCGGTCTTTATACTGGAACGACTCCGATTCCTCAACATTCCCCAAAAACTACTTTGGCGAATATTTTTGCTGATACAACAATCATACTACGCAATGATTTGCGGCTTATTTGGTCGACACTGCTTCGTAGTATAATAAATGAGTTCAATATCTGTTTGGATTGTACAAAACTAAGGAATATATTTCTCATCATAGCCAACGTTAATTACTCAACTGCCTTTACCTCAGCGAATGCGATTCAGTGGTGATTGGTACCAGTTCTGACCAATTGTTACTGGCCAGCAGCTCGCTGAACAGAGTTATTGTAAGAAAGCATTAAATTTTGACACTTCGAAGCGGAATTGAATTTTTTCGAATTTCTGAATTTCGATAGCAATGCAGAACACCTTTTCGATGCAAAGTCGGAAATTCAAAACAATGCGACTTCAACTTCGATCGTGCTTGAGAATGGCACCGTAAGCTACTTAGTTTATTATAATACGGGATCTGGCAGCCACTGCACTAACCGTTGTGATCACTAAACACGGCTTAAAGATTCCAATTAGGCAATAAATTAAATGAATACAAGAAACACATCTGTTATGAAGTTGACGAATTGTTGCTAATCCAAATTTATTATTCATTTTCCTGTAATTATTTTATAAAACAAAAACAAACAAAAAAACGCTAGTATTTCCAAATTTTAAGCTATAGTTGCCACTAAGTTTGAGTGCTAATCCGCAACACGACCTTCCCAAATGACTCAATTGATAAATTCATAATAAACAGTTGGCAGCACAGCAAACATTCGCAGCTGTCAGCGAAATGGCGCTGCTGCTGAGCTGAAGAGAAAAATGTTGAGGCATTCGAAAATCGCTCTTTGTACGTGGAAGGTGGAATGAACGTTGAAAGCGGATGAAGCACAAAACATGTTTTGTTGAATCTAAAATCTGGAATTAAGTTATTTTCGGGAAATATTGAAACTATCGATTTGGTCATAAAGTGAGTGGAAAAGTGTTGTTTTGCAAAGGATTTGAAGTCGTAAAAATTCAAATACTTACAAATATTTAAACGTGTTGTTAATTTGAGTAATCGCATTCTAATTGAAACTCCGTTTGCTTGCTTATTCGTTCGCTCGCTCGCTCGCTTGCTTCCTCGCTCACCCGCCTTTCGTCGCGCTGCGTTGTTTGTGAAAAGAAACAAAAAAGGAAAACGGAGAGAGAGGAAAATCGTAATAAATTGCAACTTCAATTCTGCTTTTAAAAAAAAAAAAAAAAGAAAATCGAAAACGACTTATAAAATCTTAACTGTTTTCTAATCTAATCGGGAATTTTTATTTGCCGTAAGTGTAAAGAACAAAAATTGAGTAACTAAAGTGTAGATACATATAAAAAATAGCATTTCTGAAGTTAGTACGTTGAGACACAAAAATGTTGAGTTAACCCACGAATGTACCAAGTGTAGAAACGAACGTGCGAACTAACGAATGGAAAACGAAAGCTGCGAAATAAGCAGAGAATGTAGGTAGTAGAGCGACATAATAAGAAGTGGTTAAATTGGATGCCAAATGAAACGTAACTGGTAGACAACGAGAAAAATATTGTACGTAGGGCACATAGCAGCAGAAGTGTATCTAAAGAATAAATCAAACAAATTTCAAATTTCAAAATTCGAAACAAGTTTGTGTACGAAAATTAACGAAACAGTGAAATTATAGGAAAACCAAACAAAACCAAATTAAACGCAATTGTATCATTATATGTACATAAAAAAATAATTAATAAAAATAAAAATAAAGAAAATAAAAAAAAAAAAGTAAAAATAAAAAAAAAAAACTTACGCTGAGTGTGTGTTTCCAAGCAAGCGTTTTCACAGCTTTGTAATTAATAAATGAAAATATTCGAATGTTCAATAGTAACGTGTTGCTGCTGCTGCATATCATTTACGATCAAATTAACGAAATTTAACAAAATTTCATATAAATAAATATAAATTAAAATATAAATACAAATATCATATCACAAAACCTTGTGTACGCGTGCGCACAGGCGAATAAATTTAAAATCATTTTGAAAGTGTAAATTCTAATTGGCATCTAAATATTATATATTTCCCCTACTATATTTATGGATATACCCAGCCAATTTTTCTAAGTTGTTTTGTGCCACCAAACCACGCAGTGCAGTGTTTGAAAAGTATCTATAGTAAAATTATAACAAGTAGCCAAACATTAAAACGACAAGTAAACCAAAATGTTTACAGAAGGTATTTTCCCGATTGGCGATGGCCTATTGGACATCAATGAGGATCGCCTTAAAGAGCTACTGGTAGCGGACGATATTAACGAGATCTATGAATTGGAACAAACACCATTTGCCAGGTAAGCGTGAGAGTACCTACATACATATGTATAACGCCAGATGATAATACATGTATTAAACATTTGTGTGTGATCGCAGAGCAGTGTACTTAAATTTTTTGTTTAAAACAATGTTTTTGGTATCAAGGCCGTTTCACGTTTCAATTAATTCGGTTAATGCACTGCCAAAAAAAAAAAATAAATAAATAAATAAAAAATAAAATAAATATTGCAACTCAACAAATTAAATTTTTAAACATTATTTTCTTGTGTATTTAGTTTTCTATTTTTTATATAAATAAAAAAATATGTACAATTTTTCCAAAGTAATTTTTCGAACCCATTTGTAGGTACTAAAATAAATAATAACTTTGTGTACCTAGATAAATTTTTAAATATCTTTTTTGGTTGTTTATCTAAAGATTTTTTTGAATACTTTTGTGTGGGTGTATTTCCTTAGAATAACTTCTTTCGTTTGTTGAAAATAATATTATTCAAATCTTTTTTTTATTTATTTATTTTTTACTAAACTTTTTTACAATTATTCACTAACAATGAGAATAAATTACCTAATGTATCTAATGTTTTTATGGCACCTACCTGGGTATGGAATTTTTTTTAAGTCAGAAGAGTATCCATAAAAGTTTAAAAATATTTATCCGAATGAAAAAAAACATATAATTTTGTTTGGTAAAAATTTTTCTAAAAGCTTAATTGAATATAAGAAATAAAAATACGCTTTCAATTCCGTCATTTCCAAATATGTGTTCAGTCCAAAAGAAGCGAAAGATATCATTTAAGTTCGATTTTTTTTGCTGCCGATTAACTTGAAAGTAAACAACATTTTTTTTTTGCAGACATAAACCTACATACATACATATGTATATTTTTTGAACGCATTTTTTTGTATCTATCGGCACATTATTGAAAAATATCTAAAAACAACATAGTTGTATACATACATACATATATTTATTTAACATTTATTTGTATGTTTGTATATGCACATAAATAAGTATCTGCTATAACTGGTTAGCACGATAAGCTGTTTTAATGTCTAACCTTACCAACCTTACACTACGCTGCTAGCTGGGCAATCATCATCGGCTCTAACGAAACCCAAGCAACCACACATCCATGCACAGTTAGACAGTTGGACAAATCGTATTGCCGTAATTCTCTTTTATATACGATTTAATTTTGCTTTGTTAACGATTTTTATATTTTTATTTGTGCTATTTTTTTTTTTTTTTGCAATTTGTTGTTGTGCAGTAGCTGTTGGTGACCATGTTGAATGTGTTAACTTAGCAATCATTCGTACATTTATACTCGTATGTGTGTACATACATACAAAGGTACATATTCTGCTGAAACATTCGCGCAGCTTCAGTCAGTTCTACTCATAAATACATTTCTATCTACATACATACATACATTTGCTTTATCATCATTTTTAATATTGCTTCATTTCAGGTATTAAAAATGCTTCCATTTGGTGTTTAACTGTAGCTGGAATTTTTTTTATTGCTAATTTTATATGTGCATAAGTATGTATGTATCTACATATGTATGTTATTTAATTTATTCTTTTGGCTTGTATTATCTGTGTTCCTCATTTGCTGACTTTGTATATATGTACATATGAATGTATACACCTAAATATGTATTATTTTAAAAAAAAAAATTTTGGTGAATTTTTTTTTAATTTTTTGTCATTGCAGCCTTATCTACGTCGCTAATTAAAGGCCTTATGTACTATTTATAAATATATCTACGTACATACATATGTATGTATGTGCAATTATTCAGATCCATATGCAAGAATTCTTATCTACACACATATACACATACATATTATTTATGCTTTTAGAGTTCTCCAAACATACATACATATGTATATACCTACTTATGTATATGTATTAATTTCAACATTAAAGTTGTCTCACCTAACTGCCGTTAGACACTTAGTGTCCAAAATCACAATGACGAGTCGCTAAAAGTGTTAACAATTGGTTTTCAATTGTTGTTGTTGTTGTTGTTGTTGTTTTTTTTTGTTTTTTTCTAACATTATTTTCAACCTTTTATACTGTACACAGTGAATTTTGATTAGTTAGTGTACTACGTGTGTCTAACCTCGCTTTTACAGCTTCGCATACAAAAACAAAAAACAAAAACATTCGTAAATTCTTTGTGTTTTGGTATTTACAAGCCTTTGGAATTTTATCAAAAATAGATAATAGTAATATTGTTTTATCATTATCTATATGTACATATATATATATATATATATATATATATATATTTGTCTTTCCATATTCGAAATGTAGATATGTCTGTAAGTATGTATGCACGCGAGCATAATACATGAACATTGGTACGTTGCATTTCTGTCTGAGCCAACAAAAAAGACATATCTTTGTACATATATTTATTATTATTATTATTATTATTAATATTTTTTTATTGTTTGTGAAAAATTAATATTATTAAAAAAAAAGATTGTATACAGAACAGAATTTAATGCAAAAGTTATCGATTCTCGATAAAAGCAGGCGACTACTCGCAGCCAAATTACACTGGTTAGTTAACATTTTCGTCAACAACAACATGTTACAACATGTTGATTATGAATATACATATGTATATATGTATATATATAAATATAAATGAATATTTTTAACCAACTTCACAAAAAGAAACAAGTATTTATTTAATTTAATTTTATTAAATATGCAAACCCAACTCATTTCAACCTACAAACTTCACAGCCAAATCGTGTGTGTGCGCGCGTGTGTGTAAGATAATTAGATTTGTATTTATCACTCGTCACATTTCAACTGCATGCTGTTAATAACGTTCATAATTTGCATACCACACATACATACATAGTGTAACTTATTTGTCAAAATGCATTAAATTTTATAAATAAAATTAAGAACAGCATGACAGAATGTTACAAATTGCTGACAACAACAGGAAGTCAATGCCACTTGTGGCTAATACTGTGAGTGTAGTGAGTGAGTGAGTGACGTGTTGTCTGTCCAATGGCGAGTAATGAGTGCGTGTTTTATACTTACATACATACATGCGAGTATGTATGCACATTAACGATTACTTATTTCTTCTTTGAAGCCAGTGGGCATTGGTATCATATTTTCTAATTAAGCCATACTTGCTAACCACTCTGACAGGGCTGACATTGTCGCCGCTAAAAATGAAACCTACATTCTGCTTCATTTATGTCTGACGAAATGGCTTTTTGTGTTTGCTAACTAATAGTACTTTGAAAAAGTTGTAAAGAAATTACCATAGTCTAATATAACTAATTTTCGTGGAAAGTGTGGAATTTTTTCCATTGAGTAGCAAAAGCTGCCTAATTCTTATATATATTTTTAATTTTTAATTTAAATGTGTTAATTTTTGAACTTTTATTTTGATTTAATAATTTTATTTTTAGTTTTTTGCTTTTGCTATTATTTTAATTCCTAATTTTTTGTTTTTTATTATTATCTATTTTAGTTACTGTTTTTATATTTTTTATATTTTTAACTTTTCTAATATCATTTTCTTATTTTAGTTATGATTTTTATTTTTTATTCTAGTTATTATTTTTAATTCTTACTATTATTATTATTATTATTATTTTTATTTTTATTATTATTACTATTGTCATTATTATTACTATTATTATTATTATTGTCATAATTATTATTGTCATAATTATTATTATTATTATTATTATTATTATTTTCATTATTATTATTATTGTTATTATTATTTCAATTATTATTTTTACTATTATTACTATTATTATTATTATTATTTTTATCATTAATATTATTTTTATTATTATTATTGTCTTTATCATTATTATTATTGATTTTATTTTGTATATTTTTTTTTTTAATTTTAAATATAATTTTTTTAATGTAATTATTATGTTAAATTTTTTTTTTTAATTTTATTATTATTATTTTTATTTTTTATTTTAATTATGGTTTTTATTTTGTATTTAATTTAATTTTTTTTTTTTACTTTTTTAATGGATTGAAAATAGGTCCCTGAGTTTTTATTCTCGTTAACTTTTTCTCGAATTGACTGTTATGGAATAAGTACCTTAAACACCATACACATTTTCAGCTGCCTGACTTGAGTTTTTTTTTGTCTTCACTGGTCTCCATTTTTGACATGCGCTCAAACATTACCGAATTAAGTAATTAACAACTCCTCCATTATCTTCTTTAGTACGAAATAACATCTTTAAAATGCCATCCAGCGTAATCTAAGGCGTTAGATGCGACTAAAATTCAATGATTCCCGCGACATTCGGGTTTTTATACCGTAACGAGCCAGATTTTTATCCTGCCAAAGATTTTTACTCTCGCAATATTCCCTGAAAACTAATTTGGGGTTTATTCTTGTGGTTACAACAACAACAACAACAACATTTAACGCAAGATACAAACCACTAAAGTCATTTTCTGCAGAAACAATGGATTACTTTTTACTAGACCTAATATTATTTACACTGTAATGTATTTGTAATGAAATACATAAGTGTACTAATTATGAATGTCTACTTAATAATCAAATAATTTACATATTAAGATACGAAAGAGAACATCTTAACACTATTAGGTACTAATCGCATCAACCACGACCTTCAAATTCTATGGGCTACAAAGCAAAATCTCAAAAAAAAAAAAATTTAAAACACAAAGGCAGAACAAAATTGCAGTAGCTCTTTCATTATACATACTTTATTACTTGCATTATCGTCTCATAAATGACCATTGAGAGCATTTTCAATTTTATTTTCAACAAAATACATATAAAATGTCTAAAACGTCTCGTCTGCTGCTGCTACAAATTTCTTCTTCTAAAGAATTGGTGAAAAAATATATATATGTATATAATAAAATACAAAAATAAGTAAAGAAAGTAACAAAGAAGCTGCAAAATAAAAACACGTCGACAGACGACGATTTCGGCAACCAAAAGCGAAAACTGTCTCAAGCAGG